CATAAAGGGTTTCCTAATTTATTGTTCTCTTTCATCTCCAGCCACATCAACCGGAAGACACAGTATGAAAACCCAGTTCTTGAAGCAAAGAGGAAGAAACAGCTTGAGCAACAGCAACAGCCACCAGAAGGTTGGCACCACCAAGGGCATGATGGTTGGGGTTTTCATGAGGGAACGTGCCCTCCCGCACCTTGGCAGCACCACACCAATGTGTTTGTCCTTCCTTCTGTGGCCTTAGCGTTTAAAGGCAAAATGACGTGCATAGGAAAGGTTGCGTATGCCCTTCACATAAGATGCAGTAAAAGAGAAAATCTAAACCATGTAACCACTTCAACATAGTAGCTTTCACCCCTGTTGAAGGGGAGAGGTTTTTCTTTTAATGTCCTCTATTTCTGGAAGGTTCCTAGGCTTCCCAGAAACGATTAAAACACATATTTTCCTCTTTAATCTGCTCCATCAAGTTACTCACTGTAGCTGGTGTTGTTCCAGTCTGCACTGGGACTCATAGGCTCTCAAAGTAGTTGAGGAGTGGGCATTTACATGCGCACTAGAGAAACCCCTCTGCATGAGAGACTTCTTAACCCAAGACCTTTGGGTATTGTCAAGCTCTAACATCTGAAGTAATTTCATTACTTAAACCACTTTTTTTTTTCTTTTCCTCCTTCCCCCTTTTTTTTTCTTTGTTTCTGTATTTTTTTTTTTTCTTTAAATGCAGCCCAACTGCAGTGAGGTGCCTGTAGCATTTAGGTTTGTTTTGGTACCTTTGTAGCTTTCACACCAAGTTGTTTCACAACAGTTATTATCCAAGGGAAAAATAATTTAGGCTTCAACATTCCTCCTGCAGCCCCATTGCCTGCAACATCAGCTCTTCTACTTAGATGCCATGAGTACCATGGGGAATAGATTTCATATAAATGTTGAGACTACTTAGATGCAAATCAAGTCCCAAGTTTGAGTGTGAGGTAGGATGTCCCAGCAGACAGATCTGTTTACCTGGACATAGGGAGTCCTCCAGAATTGATTTTTGAACATCCCATTCATTTTATTCCCTCTCTCCGTGACTGTTTCCTCTCTTGCCATGCATCTCATCTCCTCTGCTTGAACCCCACACTTCCAGTGTGTGTACGTGCAGGAGCTCATAGTGCTGTTGTGAAACCAGTAACATTTCCCTCTCTGCCCTCTCTAGAATGGACAGAGGAGTGTCCATCTCTCCCACCACCCGCTGCTCCAAACCATGTTTCAAACAACCAGGAGGCAGTTCGGGAAGCACCAGTGCAAGGTAACAACCTTGTTAAACCAGTTGTAAAAGTGCAACAAGGTTTTTTTTTTCCTGAGAATGAGATTCCCTCAGCCACCAGCAAAGGGAGTATCTCCATGACTAGTGTCACACACCTGGGAACGTGCCTGCTTATCTGAATTCCCATAGATTTTTGAGAATAGTTGTTTTGAGACCACATTTGTCACCAAATGCAAGAGGCAAATGAGATGGCCTGCATCAAAAAAAGATTATGTCAATTCTCTATGTAGCATTCCAAGTCTTTAAAAAGGCATGGTGAAAATGTGAGTTACAACATGGGTGGGATTTAACAGCAACTGCAGTGGATGCAAGTGCAAGTAGGAGGAGACCCTTTTCCAAAGAGCTGTATGGATATGCAAAAATTAGGCTTTTACACCTTCTAAACTCTACTGAGTTTAGAATGTGGCTCTTATAATAAAATCTAGTGCAGAGGTTTCTTTCTGTTCTAATAGGTCAACATCCCCTCCCAAAAAGCAACACAAAATCTCACCATGTTGCACTGTGATTAAGACACAGACATGCATTAACATGGTCTTGTTTTAGTTTTCGAGCCAAAGCCAACGTCACCCCATGTCTGCATTCATGGGCAGGTAGAGTTTCAAGTTGAAGTAGTTTAAGAGCCCTGGAAACTGGTCAACATGTCTGGGAGCTGTGATGTGCATAGGTTGTTGGCACTGTTTGGCAGGACCTTGGTTTTGGAGAGCTTGGGTGTCTTGGTTGCATTTGTGACATCTGAGCCGCTAGGTTCTGGTATTGCCATGAATGAGTCTGGTTTGCAACTTTATGGATTTTCCTTTTTGTGTGCCTTGAATCCAAATGAAAATTTGGGGGGATAGGAGCTGGGGGGAACACCAGAAAAGGGATATCCTCTACCATTTGAAGAGCTTTGCAGAGCAACCAGGCCTCCATGCTGAATCTGACTTTCTGTAGTAACAGAGGGCGGAGAGGCACAAGCACCTTGGCCACATTTTAGGGGTGAATTACATTGTGTTTCTGAAAAATCTGAGCTGAAGCTCCTCTGGGAAGCTCTGCATGAGGAGGGAATGATAATAGGTCTAAATACTGCAAACCTACTTTGGAGTTGTACATGTGTACAAGTATTTTGGGCTATTACAGCCTTATGTATTAGTGTCAATGGTCTGTGTAGAGCCAACTGCTCACAGACCAGTTGCTCATCTTAAATAACTAGCCAGACAGGACATGAATTGTTCCTGAATTTGCAGCATGAGCTGAAACATTGCCAGATCAGGTTGCCAGCAAGGGCAGAGAGTTCCACTCATACCTGTTGCAGTACAAGTGCTCTCTGGTTACAAGTGGTTGTAAGTAGGCTTCATCTTTGGCTACATCTAAATTGCATAGCAAGCGAATGGCATTGCCCCAGCCTGCAGGAACCAGAGGCTGTGGAAGGTGAGAGAGGGGAAGTCTGCCTGGAGCACGTCATCCTGACAGGGCTGGGAGCAGCCGGGGGGAGGCTGGCCTCAGGAGCTGGGAAATACTCCCATACTCTGCAGGTCAGCCGTGGTGTCCAAAGGTGAGCCTGGCAAGGGTGCTGCTGTCCCGGGCTGCCTTTGCTGCCATGAAGAGCCAGGGAGTGCTCTCTGCTGCAGGTGGCAGCAGATCAGCCCTTCCAAAACAGACGTGAAATTTAACAGCACAAAGCCCCCAGCACATTCCTGAGGGGTATTAGAGTACATTAGAGTAATCCAGACTTGCAGCAAGGAAAAACACGGGAGGTCTGGGGATGGTACCCTGACCACCAGGCATCTGGGGTTAGGCACCTCATCAGAGTGCCCCAAAACAGCTGGTCTTCCTCGGGGAGACATCTGTGAATGCCACCTCTGCCCGTAACAGGCCGTCAGGCTGAAGCGAGGCTGCCCAAGTGTCCATGCATGGCAGTGCAAAGGACCCGTCATGCAGGGGATGACATTAGAAGCCTCACTCAGTTCTCCACCCACTCCCAACTGCAGCCACAAAATTTTGCAGTAACATTACAGGAGAATAGCCTGTCTCAGCACCACTCTGAGTGACATGTCCTGGTACCTGCTGATGACTCCTTCTCTCTTTCATTCCTTCCTCTTCCTTTCTCAGTGCTGCTCCTTCTCCTGCTCTCCATTTGCAGCAGCTATTTCCAGCTTCCCTGTCTCCCTACCCTATGCCCAGGGGTTTCCATCTCTCCCACTGATGGCACTGCTGGTGGGGACACGGGCACACGGACCCCTCCTTGTGCCCCTGGCACCGATCTCCCAGCTGGGGTTTTGTAGATGGACTCATTTAAAATGTGATCCCTTCCCAAATGCTGTAGGTGGGACGTAGCCTGTGGTGCTGCTGTCCTGTTACTACAGAGCAAGTTCACCCTGTATTTGTAGGCAAACGCTAGCAAGCTGTGTTTGTTCTGCTTGTCTTTTGAACCAGAAGTCAGCACAGGACCAAGCCCCACTGCATGCTGCCTCTCAGCCGTGTTTGTTACCTGAGAGGTTGGGTTGCACTTTGATAGTCAGGGCTTTTTTGCAGCTTGGGGTCTGAGCAGAGCATCTGCCCACAGTGTGCAGGATTATCATGTTCCTGTGCTACCCTTCAAAGGCAGAAGACTGCAAGTCCTCACACTGCCCCCTCATGAATAATCTTCAAATATACTTTTTTTCCCCTAGTCAAAGGCTTACAAGTCTCAAATCCCCTCACTCTCCCTCAAGGTCTCCTTTCTGAACAGAGGCCCATGGCAATGCTGGCGAAGTTTTTGAAAGTATGCCAGCTCTCCTGGCTGTGATGCACGCTGCTGATCCTGGAGCTGTCACCAGAGGGCTTAGTGGCACAGTCTTTTCCCCTCTAAGCATTAAAACAATTAAAAGTGCAAAGGTGTTTAGTGTTGGCACTGTGAAGTACAGCAACTGTGATTCCTTTTCCAAGCCTGTGCAACATGCTTTGCAAGGATGCACTTTTGTCTTTGGAGTACCTTGTTCCCTCTTAACTGTGCTCCCAGAGAGCACTAACAGCCCTCCAGCACAGCCGCTCTGGTCCCGGGCCGCCCTTTGATCCGTACTTCACAACAGCAGGGTTTCATCCACAACAGGCAAGGAGCAGAAAGGAAAGAGGAAAGACTTCAAACAGTGTCTGAAGAACATCAGTGCCCTTCCCTTTTTCACCAGAGGAGGTCACAGGGTGGTCGCGATGGTGGGGCGGGGAGGGGGGGTGTATCCTAAAGGGTTACGCAGTGTCTTGCCACAGCTCAGAAGCTGCTTTTTGCTCGGTGGGTTGGGAGAAAGCCAAGTGGTGAAAAACATAATGATACTCCTTTCTGCAGAAACTCTTACTGCAGACTCCTTCTGTAGGAGGCATTTGCGCTGTCCCCGTCCATCCTTCCTGGGGTGGGTATAACACCTCAGGCCAGAGATAAGACGCCTATCTAAGCCAGCATTGCCAGCTTTAATGTATTCCATTCCTTAAAGCAGCGTGTTTTCCCCTTTGTAGCCTTGGGGCTTTGCTGTGCACAACCACAGCTAACAAAGCACCAGGTTTTGCTCACTCTTTTTACTGCATGATTGGATCCAGGGGACAGGTGGAGTGCAATGAGGTGAGAGGATGCTGGAGTGAAGTTCAGTCCCGTCCCAGCACACCGCTGTGTTTGTCCGTGTACTTGTTAGAGCAGGGAGGGGTAGAACAAAAACAGATCAAACACTCTTGCCTGCCTGTTTATAGATTTTCCAAACTTCCTACACAGGAAAACCTTTTTTTACACGAAACCCTTCTGAGTTGAAAGGGAAGTTCATCCACACCAAGCTAAGGAAAAGCAGCAGGGGTTTCGGCTTCACCGTCGTTGGAGGGGATGAGCCAGATGAATTTCTTCAAATCAAAAGTTTGGTGCTTGACGGCCCTGCAGCACTGGATGGCAAAATGGAAACAGGTACTGATGCTTTAAATCAAAATCACCACCACCACTTTGGCTTATGTTTTTACAGCTGGTTTTATGTGCAATTCATAAAGAGCTTTAGTCCTCATCCCTTTTTTGGGGAAAGGCGTTCAGCTTTCCAATCAGCAAGCAAGGAAGTGAGATACATTGAGGGATATGTTCAAAATCTTATAGCAAGGCACTTCATATGCTGGAAATTCACCTCAGGTGTCAAAATATCCAGCTGGGGCTCTGCCAGCTCCTGCTGTCCCCACACTGACCTGCAGAGAGGAGTCGGTGGTCGTAGGGTCCCGCATCAGGCTGTGGGTTACTGCGCCCTGCTGTGGCAATGGCTGTGGTATTTTTGTAGGGCTCTGTCGCTGTGTGTTTTATATCTGCCATGCCACTCACCCCCTCTCCAAAGCTACTCCCAGGGAATGGGCAGAGGAGTGGGCTAGTTTACATTTCCCTGTATGGAGGCACCAAGGGCCAGTTTGTTTTGACAGAGATCCGGCCCAGCGTGGTGAAATCCTGGTAGGATTCACCTGAGGTCACAACTCCTCACTCGCAGGTGGAACATCACAACATTAAACATCTCTGTGTTGCAGCCCCGGTGTGAAAAAATGAATCATACCTTAATTGATACCTAGATTTCAGGCCAAAGCGTGTCTGCGACATGACACGTGGCACCGTATTTGAGCAGTTGGTATCTGAGAGCCTTCTGTTATAGCTCTCATGTGCTCTCAGTTTTGTTTCTATCATATGTCAGTGTAGCACAGTGTGTAACAGTGAGAGCCGGGCTTCGAAATAACTGTTAAATGGGCTGTATACCATCATTTGAATTTATTCATTTTTTGCATAAGCCAATTCCATTTTCACTTTCAAAAACGTTTATGTACCTAAAGGCTTTATGCAGTGAATCCATTATGTACAGATAGTTGTTGCTTGCCCAAGTGTCACCACTCCTTTTCCTTGCAAAGGTACTTAAATGCTACTATTTACCTGTGAGCAGTACCTGTAGATGCTGCGGATCAGCTCGCAGGCTCTAGTCCTCACCTTCCCGGGGTTCACAACATGTATGTGTTTGGTATATCTGTCTGTGTCCTCTGCAGGGGACGTCATAGTCAGCGTGAACGATACCTGTGTGCTGGGGCACACTCATGCTCAAGTTGTGAAAATCTTCCAATCCATCCCCATCGGTGCCAGCGTGGACCTCGAACTGTGCCGAGGCTATCCCCTGCCCTTTGATCCCGATGATCCCAACACAAGCCTGGTTACGTCTGTGGCAATTTTGGACAAAGAGCCGATCATTGTGAACGGGCAGGAAAATTACGACTCCCCAGTGAGCCACAGTAGTAAAACAGGGAAAGTAAATGGCACAAAGGAAGCAAGACCCAGCAGCCCGGCTGAGGTCTCTTCCAACGGACCCCACGGTTACCCCAATGACACGGTCTCTTTGGCATCTTCGATAGCAACACAACCTGAACTCATAACTGTGCATATAGTGAAAGGGCCTATGGGCTTTGGGTTTACTATAGCAGACAGCCCCGGTGGGGGCGGCCAAAGAGTGAAACAAATCGTGGACAGCCCACGGTGCCGCGGCCTGAAGGAGGGCGATCTTATAGTTGAAGTCAACAAGAAGAACGTGCAGAGCCTCACTCACAACCAGGTGGTGGATATGCTGATTGAATGTCCTAAGGGAAGCGAAGTCACATTGCTGGTGCAGCGAGGAGGTAAGTCTTCAAAATGGCTTTAAAATATTTCTTCTTGAAATTAAAAAAAAAATGCATGTCATGAAAGACCTGCTCTCCTAAGCTTCTCTAGAAATGGTTTATGTCCTGAGGTGTAGGAACTGCCCCAAGTTGGCAGTTGTCAGGTCACATAGATGGTTAAAATTATTTATTGTTTGATGCTGCACTGGGGGGAACGTGCACGTAGTTCCCATGCGCACATGCACTGCACACGTCTTCTGGTAATGCACAAAAGGGTGGTATGGCTACACCTTTACTTCCGTAACAAACCCTGATCTCATGCTCGTAAAAATTATTTTAAATATAACACAGACATTTCTTGAGCTGTTTTGGGAGATGCAAGAGGCTGGTAATACATTCTGTAATTTGCAGTGTTCAAAATCAGATATCCAATGACTTTTCACTGTGGGAGGGTTACACCTGGGATACAGTTGGGAGTGGAGGAGAGAAGTTGTAAGCAATTGAAATGTTACTTCTGCACATGTTTGTTTGCTGCACAGTAGGGAGCTGAGCTCGTTTTTGGTTGCATTGCTGAGAGAGGCCACCAGCCAGGTACAAAAAACACCCTACAGGCAGTATGGCTGCAGCCCGCATGGGAGCAGGTATGGTAGGTAACCTGTCAGTGGGGTCAGTCGGCAGTGCCGTCAGTACACCACAGGAACACTTTCCCTGCGCATAGTAAGTGTAACATAATCTGAGGTAGGACACTTTTAGTCTGTGGATTAAACTTACTGGAAGAGTTAGTGTCAAGCTCGCAGGGAAAGTCCACGTCAGCTGTTGAGTGCAAAGTCAAGAGCAGCGGGGTCAGCTCTCCCTCTCTCTGCTCTGGCATTGGCAGCGGGGATCTGAGAGGGGTAAAGCCTCGGCCCCGCTGTGCTCCCTTTCCCATGCTGCAGTTTTTTGGACAACATGCACGTTGGTGCTCAGCACCTCGCAGGGCCGAGCATGCTGCAGAGACAGAATTAAGCTGACAAGTAGGTGCTGAACACAGCCCCCAGCCAGTCCTGGGAGAAGTGTTTGATACAAAAGTACTTTTCTGATGCCTTTTCTGAAGTGTTTTGATTGTGGGAAGTTAGTAACAAAAACCAGTCTGTTTTAATGGGGGACAAGCTGCTTTCTGAATTTGCAACTTTGGTTTGTTGTTTTAAAGACCTATTTCAAGGAATTGAGGACATTGATTCTGCAATTAATAGCGGCTCTGGAGAAAGCACTGCCTTTCTTATACTCCTTCCTTTCCAAGTGCTTACTGTGTTTTTGTATTTTTGTAGTAAATTAAAAAGTAAAGAACAGAATATATTAAGAATTCTCCAATTTTCAAAGTGTAAGTTCCTTAAAGACTTTCAGTACTGGAGAGGTTTAAAAAATGCACTGTGTTCTCATGATTAATATATGTATTATGGATAAAATATAGTTGGAAGAAAAATAGCAGCTATTATTAATCCTTCTGGAGAGCATATATATCTGGTAACACCATACATTAATTATTTGAATTGTGGCTGACATTTAATAATCCTCCTTATGCCTTGAAGGCATAATGAAAAGATTTGATGAGGAAATAAAAGGATAGTTTTAATAAGGTAGTAAATAGTTCCCTGGTAATCTTGCTGAATCTCTCTCATCTTTTTTTTATTTAATCAAGATACTAACCACATGTTAAGCATTTGCTATCACCTTCCTAGATAGATACCATATCAATCTCCTTGAACTGCCTCCCTCCCTCCTTCAAGGTCCTGACATTTCCATCTCAGTATAGAGCACTTGCAGTTCCAAATTTCACGCTCCCACGGTACAGGACTCAGAAACTGTGGTGGCCCTGGATCCACGGTTAATCATTGAAACATGTTCTTCTTCACTTCCAGAAGGCTGGACTGAAAGGCACACAAGCTGTGGCACAGAAGCCAAGCAGAATACAGACAGCGATAATAGCCCCAGCATCAAAAACAGTCGGGTTTGTTTAAAGCTTGTAAGATGCTGCTGGCTAAAATGCACCTGGCACTCAGTGCTGCTGCACTCGGGTCCTTTCTCCCGTAAATTTACCTTGTGTTACCCCTGCCAAGTCTTTTATCAGAAGTACCATCCACAGACAAGGTGCCGCTTTTTATTTTGGGCCAATTACAGAAATGTATTTGGCTCCGGTGTCTGATAAGCTCCTTCAGGGCTCTTGAAGCAGTTCTTCTTTAGCTTCACTGTCAGTTGTCCTTTCCTCCTCCTCCCTCTGGTGTCCAGTGAAGAAAATGCTCAGATGCTGTCAGGCATCCTTGCATTAGCCTAACATTTGCATTCAGTCAGGCTTTGCGTGAAGCATCCCTGCAACACTAAGGCTGGTGTTCAGAGCTGTCGAAAGGATTTGTCAGAAGTGATTACTAATCAGGCAGAAAAATATCAAAGAGATGTGTAATATATGGGAAAAGCTCTGCCTGCTCCAAGCTACTGGTGCACTCCCAACACTGAGGTTTAATTGTTAAAATGCAAACCCACAGCGGCTGAGAGCAGCCTGTAAAATATTTACTGTGAAGTGTATTCAGATGAAGCGCTGGCTTTTGCGAGCGGACGAGTCCTGCCATTGCATTTGAGTGAGGAACAGAAGGGTGATTTCAGGAAGGATGAAGCTGAAATGCCCCCTGTGTGTGCTCAGCTGCTCACGTGTCATCTGAAAATCATTTGCAGGACTCGTACAAGGTTGGGGCGGGGGATAAATACATTAAGAGAGGGACAGCGTCAGGTCATTGAGGTTTTGCGTTCCAGAGGCCCCATAGAAAAATTGCCTTATCTACGTTCTGGTTTAATTTTTTATTTTCCCCTTCCTCCTCCCGCCTCTAGGCCTTAATTGTATTATTGCTGTTGTTTTCCTATTTCACCTATACATAGTGCTGGATAAAACTCACTGAGCATACCTCATGATTTGGACTACAGCACTTGAGAGGTCCAGGAAGGATGAACTCCGAGCGGAGGCAGGGTGCAGAGGAGCTGATTGGGCTGTACGTGAGACCAGATTGGAAAAGCTGCTTTTGCTTAGCAAAATGAATGGACAGAGAGGATGGAATTATTGTCTCTAACTATTAGGTAGGAGAGACAGGAGATACTTAAACTGAAGAGAGATCTTGGCTGAAGAACAACTGGGTGTTGTTCGGCCATGAGTAATTTGAACTATAAATAAGAAGAAAGTGCCAACCCATTAGAGCCCATAAGTCAAACTGGAGGAGGTGTGAAGCCTTTGCTGCCTGAAGGTGAACTCAGTATGTTTGAAGGGGATGTGACATGGTGCCTGCAACAGCAGAGGAGACGATAACCCAGCAGGACCATTCAAGGGCCGGGTACCTGAAAGTAAACCAGCGCTACTGGTTACAAAATGCAGAATGAAGCATATGTTTTTGTCCCTGCACTGCACAATGTGATTACACATTTCAGTTATTTTAAAGAATTATTGTTAATAAGGCCACAAAAGGCACACCTTTATTTTGAGTATTTGTAGCTGAAAAGGTTCTTTTAACCTTGTACCTACAAAGTACATAAAGTACTTTTCTCAAAAAAAAAGCAAAGAAAGAAGGTAATAATATTTGCCACTTGAAATCCATTTGTCATTGAAGTCTTGTCTACGCACAGTAATCAACTGAAATAAGCAATTCTCAAATACCTCTCCATTCTGCACAGATTCTATTCATAATAAAAGCAACATTTTGTCAGAATAATTTCCCTGCTTCCCAAGGGACTTTTATTCTGGGAGTTGTGTCTATGCTGGGGCAGGTGGGGGGCCGTTTCAGAACAAGTTATTCTGCAAAACTACTGTGCTCTATTTTCTGGAGTCGCTAAGATCTAACATTTGATTCAGTGAGAACATTTGTATGTTATACTTATATATTTTGTGAATTACCTCAGATTAAAGAGGATTTTTTTTTCCCTTTTTCCCCCCCCTTTTTTTTAAGGTCAGTCTTCAGTTCAGGTCATCCAAAAATAATTGTAATTAGTTTGTATTCAATTACAAGAATTAAGCTGAGCTGTTTTCATGCAGGTTTGAATGGACAGTTTCCCTTCAAAGCTTTCACAGTGCTCACTAGCATCTTTATTCACTGGAAGGTCGAAAATAGCATAAACCTTGAGCCTGATCTACGTAATCCCCTTGAAGATGTGTTCCCACTGCTCCAGATCAAAGTAAAAGCATGCAGGTGAAATGTCACTCACATGTCATGTGCAAATCAGTGGAGTTTCTAATAGCTTTCCCGAGTGCCAAATTCCCATTAAACTGGGGAATGGAAATCCACCGTCTGAAAAATATGTGATATATATGCTAGAGTTTCAAAACTAAATGTATTTTATGGGAAGAAGCAGCAGTGCAACATCCACCTGTCGAAATGTCCGTCAGTGGGTGCCTGAGTCTTACCTCCATGTAAAAGCAAAGTCCATTCTCGATTCCCTGTTCATGGTTCAATTGAATGGAAGGTGTTTGTGGGGAGCAATGAGGTAGGTGGAAGTGGGGAGAGGTTTGTCGCAGTAATCCTGCTCATTTGGTCCTTGTCTCAGTGGTCTTAAGAAGGTCCTTGTGATGCATATAACTACAATAAAAATTTGCAGCAATGGAATGAAATGACAAAGCTCTAAAGCAATAAACCTGTTCAGTCTCCTTAGCTAGATGGACCTTCCCTTGCTCTTCCGGTGATGCTCTTGGCATGTGAGGGTAATTAACCCCTGACACTTCCCACGGAAAGGAGTTAACTCCTCCTTCTTGTGCTGAAAATGCATGCTAGAGTCAACTGCCCTGGACTTGAAGACTCTTTCTGTAGCCTAAAATGGAAGGACATCTTTTTTTCCTCTCTATTTATCTTGCGTCCATGCCATTGAAACATTGCATAGTAATAGAAAGATACGTGTCTTTCTTTACGCTGCTTGCTGCAGCTTCAGGCTCCCCGCAGCCAGGGTAGAGAGAGTTACAAGATCCTTTAGACACAGTTGGAAAACTTTACAAACAATATATCATAACGACTTAT